TCGGTGCTTTGAATATCTGAACCGGTCGCAGGCCTCCTCTAGGTAGACTCAGACTAAAATCAGTACCAGGCTCGGTGCGTAAACATCATCGCCACTCGGGAGACAAAGGCGGCCGGGCGTGGTGTCGGTCACTCACCCCCTCCATAGGTGCGCGCTCACAGTTGCGCCAAAACGTCTCTTCCGATTGGCACGGGTGGCTACGTACGGTGCGAAAGAAATTCGCCATACGCACAATACGTGACGTACTTGTGTATTTATATTTGACAATGGTGTGATATTGTGCCATAGAGGTGTATACCATGTAAATGTGCATATCGTACGTGTGTTAACTGTATATATACCTGTGAATTATATGTATAAGTGTGTAACGTATGTGCAATATAACATGTGTACACTTAAATACGCTGCTTATTATGTATACGTTCTCTATGTAATTAACGCGTAAATCATATATATGTGTTAATATACGTATATTGAAGGGTGTGCACATATATATTAAATATTCGGAACGATTTGTATCGATATGTATTTGAACACAGATGCACACATATATATGTAAGTGTTACGCGTGTATTGTATGCATTGTATATATGTGTGTGCTATGTGTGCATGCGATCCTGGGTCTCATCTGACCTTGGCTAATGCCCCACACATCCACTTAGCAAGGATAACGTACGATACATTTGCGACCGCCGCGTTAAAATCTCAACATATAGCCCAATAGGTGTTGTTAATACCTGGCAGTGTAGCATTTCCATGCCACCCTCTGCAGACCACTCACTGCCCCATTATGTGCGCGCGAGTATATAATGCCTCTGTAAATGGTTTAGGAAGTTAACGCACGCACGCGTATAAAGTCACTAATTATCATCACATGCTCAATTGAGCTGTCAACAAGGGCCCTTTCACTACTCGCAGCCCCCCCACCCCCCCCCCCCGTAGATGCAACAGGGCACGGGACCCGTCCTCCAAGTAAAGTTCTGGGGTGGTGGTGGGGGAGGGAACAAGACCCGTTCCTCGGGGCAGTGGGAACGAGGTAGTCACAATCCCACGAGTTGTTTTGGGATAGTGATGGCTGTCCTGTTGCATTAGGGGCCGTCCATAAATGACGTCACGCGATTTTGGACGATTTTTGACCCCCCCCCCCCATCGTCACACGGCGTTACGAAAAGTCAGACCCCCCCCCCTCAAATGTGACGTCACAAAGCTCTGCCCCCCCCCCCCAAAAATAAAACATGCTTCAAATCGCTTTCAACTATTGTCATTGTAGTGCGTATTTAATGTGGCGCTGCACTCTGATGTTGTAGGAGAAAACATTTATGAAAAAGTCTATTTAATTAAGTAGAACGTGTTGTCTATATTTATTTAAAGTTGCCCATTTTGATGTGACGTCACATTTCTCAACCCCCCCCCCCCTCCCTTGTCACACATCGTCACAAATGTCTGATCCCCCCCCTAGGTGCGTGACGTCATTTATGGACGGCCCCTTAAAGATAATACTACACGGCAGTGGTGACGAGGTAGTCACAAGCCCATAAAATTGCTTTGGTATATTGACGGCTGTCCTGTTGTTGCATTAAGGATAACGCTACACGATCGCCTAATCGATTCGCAATGACCCCCAAAGATATTCGTGAATACTGCACTACGGCAGAACGAGTGCGTCGGTGTAAATAGTTGAGTGTTTATTATTGTGTAACCTTGCTCAACGCATTTGCACGCATTCGGCCCCATGGACAAGTTAACATCTTAACACAACACTGTGTGTGTGTTTACATGGTTTAACCAAACATCCCATCTTGACATTTATAAATACGAGGTGGACACGTGTTTTTATGCTACGTTTTACGTTTTTCTCTACACATATGTATACTGCTGTATGGATGGGGAATGTTTACCGTTAAATTCGCGAATAGTTTATGTCAAAACAGATGACATTTTGCGATATCATGTATAACTACACGCGCTCACATATCCACACGATTTTTATATTATTTTTTCAAAAAATTAATCTTCGTTGAAGTACCACTGCTCGGGGCCTCACACGCCACACATACACTTAGCACACATATCCTCTTCTCAAAAGCCCTACAATTAGCCCTATTCATTACACATCACCATATACCACTGCGGTCACATTTAATTATATTTCCATAAGTTTATCATAAGCCCATATGTCATACACTGTACATGACCATCCTAGTATGTCTCTTATCCATATTACATCATCATACCTCACTGCAAAAGGAATTGTGCATTCTTCAACTTTGTTTTACCACGATGTCCCCTTCTTCTTATAAGCGCTACAATAAGATTGTGTACACTGTACGTAAAACCCCCGGTGTCATGAAACGTCGATCAAATGTTAATCTTGCAGCATGCAACGACTCGACCATTTACCACGCTCGTTGTCGTTACGCGAAGACGGTAACGTGTGTGTGTGTGCGCGTGTATCACAGCCCAGAGTCGTACGGCGAATCGGGGCGACCGCCCCGAGCCCCGCGCTTTGGGGGGTGGGGCGGGCGCGCGCTTCGACGCCACTGTGTCAGATGTAATACCTGAGATTTAGTTTGAACGGCCCTGATCACAGCAGACGCTTGTGCTGTAAGAGTGTCAGGCCAATCTTAGAAACTTGAAGCAATCGCGGTGGTAGCCCCCATACGTTATGTGCGTCTGCGCGTCTGATGATATTGACGACGACAGAGCCAAACAAACACGTGCACTGCGTGGGAGCTGAGCGCCACGCCGCTTCTGACGAGACGCAAGCGCCGCGTTGCTGTGCACGGCGCCTCGCGCGTGATCCCCACATCAACAAACAACACCCAGGGCGATCGACGGTGATCGATGGGTGATGCCGCTACGCGCGCGCGCGCGATGATGTCAGCGACGTAAGTGTGGGTTGTGTGCAAGTTGAACGACGTAGCCACAACAACACTAAAGACAACAACACTAAAACAACAACAACACTAAAGACAACAACACTAAACACAACAACAACACTAAACACAACAACACTAAACACAACAACAACACTAAACACAACAACACTATACACAACAATACTAAAGACAACAACGCTAAACACAACAACACTAAACACAACAACAACACTAAACACAACAACACTAAACACAACAACAACAACACTAAACACACCAACACTATACACAACAATACTAAAGACAACAACACTAAACACAACAACACTAAACACAACAACAACACTATACACAACAACACTAAACACAACAACAACACTAATCACAACAACACTAAACACAACAACAATACTAAAAACAACAACACTAAAAACAACAACACTAAACGCAACAACAACAATAAACACAACAACACTAAAGAACAACAACACTAAAAACAACAACACTAAACGCAACAACAACAATAAACACAACAATAACAACACTAAACACAACAACAACACTAAACACAACACTAAACACAACAACAACACGTAGTTCTCAAGAGATGGATGGGGGCCGGGAGATGATGATGATGGTGGTGGTGCTTTGGTACCGATGTAGTTACAGTTTGAAGATAAACTATTTATGGATGATGATGTTGATGGATGCTGGCGTTGGTGGCGACGATAATGGTTTTATGTTCGTGCTAATGGTGTTGGTGATGTTGGAAGCGGCGTGGTAAAATTGTGATAATGGATATGGTGGTGGTTATGATTATAATGATGATGAAAGTGGTGGTGATAATAGTGACGAAGACGATGGCAGCGATGATAACTGCAATGGAAGTGGTGGCGGTGATATGGATGAAGATGTCACGGTGGTGATGATAACGGTGGTGGTGGTGATGATGATGGTTGGTGGACAAGAAGCCAGCGATGACATGCAATGTGGCAGAGGGCCCTGTGTGATTCTGGCCTGGGAGAGGGGTCAGAGGGCTTGTTAACCCCCGACGCTGACCCTCGGTTCATCTCACCCTAACCCCTTATCACACAGAGGGGGTGGTCAGGGGTGACGATACCGAGATAAGGAGACATGCTTTATGGACGGCTGCCCCATCACACCACTTGCTGCAACGGGTCTCTGCTCCGTGGCAGGCTGAGAGGCTGCTTGCGTTTGGTGATGAACGGCGAAGTAGGACTTGTTCACGTCTAATACCCATTAGGGGAACCTTTAGCATCCACCCAGCCGCCCTATACTCTGTGGAGTGTTATTTGTATGGCGTGTGTGTGTGTAGGGAGTGGTGGTGCAGCAGTTCGCGTGCTGTGCAATCAACCCGGCGTCCCGAGTTCGATTTGCGCTCATGGCCAATACACGATTACCTGGGTTGACTCAAACGAGTAGGCTGGTGCAGCGGTGTGTAGTAAACATCGCCACGAGGGAGACAAAGACGGCCGTGCGTGGTGCTGGCCACCCACCCCACTGCCCATGTCCCGACCTTCATAGGTGCTCGCTGACAGCACTTGCCCCAACAGTTTGGCAAGGCTATACGGGTGATATGTCTATGCTTTGTGTGTGTTTATGCGCTGTTTACTTATTCGAGGAGCCAATGTGTGTGCGTGTAAACGTAAATAATGAATCACAGGATAATTGAAATGATAGTTTATTTTAATTTGAAAATAAAGATTTTGACAATTATAATCGCTGGACTTCTTCAGGAAGTTTGTCTATGTACTACTCCGCGTATGTATTTGGTTCTCTGTGGGTGATATTTCATGGTATACCTCCTTTGCCAGCACCAACTTATGAGAAAAGGTTTTCTCCTTTTTTCTGACAAGAAAACAGGTGTTTAGATGTTAAAACGCCAAACTGAAACCTTTTATAAGGAATCATGTCTGCATTAACCACAATACTGGTGGTCAGAATGCAAAAAAAAAACATACTCTGATAGTATATGCATTGTCTTTGAAACTGATTGGTCCACACCAGAGACAGAGTATGTTTTTTGTTTGCATTCGGACCACAAGTATTGTGGTTAATACAGACATGATTCCTTGTAACAGGTTTCAGTTTGGCGTTTTAACATCTTAACACCTGTTTTGTTGCCAGAAAAAAGGGAAAACCTATTCTCGTGTGTGATATATTGCTTAAACTATGAGTAACCATCCAATTGCAATTTTTTTTTCATTTTAAATACATAAATATTCGATTCGTCGGCAGTCATTTTAAAATAGTTGCGTGCTGCGTTGTGTGTAGTGTGTGTGCAGTGTTTGTGTTGTGTACCGTGCGTGTTATGTACCGTGTGTACAGTGGGTGCGTGCGGTGTTTGTATAACGTGTATGTGTGCTGTGTGTGTTGTGTGCTGTGTGTGAGGAGTACTGGTGTGCGGAGTGTTTGTGTTGTGTGCGGTGTGTGCTGTGTACTGTGTACTGTGTGTGGGGTGTGTACCACGTGTGTATGTGTGTGTGTTGCGCGGTCTGTTGTGTACCGCGTGTGTATGTGTGTGTGCGGTGTGTTGTGTACCGCGTGTGTGTGTGCGGTGTGTTGTGTGCGTTGTGCTGTAGCAGATCTCTCCGCAGGACACCGAGGGACGCACACCGACACGGACCCTGCACTTCCATTTGCTTTAATCGGGATTGGGATGATGACACAGCAGGGCGTGCTGAGCCGCCGGCAGCGATCATCGCGAATGGCAACGACTCCGTCTTCTCAGTGAACATGCAACGTTGGGCCAACGTTGGGTCAACGTTGGAGCCAACGTTCAACGTTTCACTGGCTTAGTGCAACCGGACCGACTAAACCGTTCTTGTGTAAAACCAGGATAAAAATAGATTTTATTTTTGGGTTTCTGAAAAAAAGAATTTCCCCACCTAAAAGAGGTAGTTCAGTGTCCTTCTTCAAACCGCTTCGGTCAAAGCTCGGTGCGCGAACCTCCGACTCGTAGTATTCGCCTCTCTCGCGCGCACCCAGCGGCCTCATCGGCGCCTTGCGGGACGGACGTCGCTGCCGCTCAAAGGGCCTCGTGTGCGATCGATACTCGTGGAGGCCCGGCCGATGTGCGATGGTTAGTCAAAGGATACTGTTTACTTAAGGCCTCCAAGAATGCTTAACTTATACGTTTAGAAAAAAGAAAGAAATATACATAACGGTATATGGTACAAACGCGTAACTACACCGCGTAGACATTGGATATACACACACACACGCACCGCAGTCCGTGTTTACCTGCCGTGGTGCTGCTATACATGGCCGGAGTGAAAAAAAACCACACTCTCCACCCCACGCCACTCCGGGATGCAGCAATCCGTCCCTCCCTGTCGTGCAGCCGTGGTCACTCCCGAACAGCTCCCTCCTCGCTGTGCATCAGCGGCGGTCACTTGGGCCGTGCCCCAGCCGTCGTCACTTGCCGGGCCACGCACGAGTGGTCACTCACAACTTTGCGGCCACAGTCACATCCCAATGAGTGCAGGCACCCCCCCCCCCCTACCCCGCAGTGCAACAACCTTGGTCACTCGCGGCTCTGCGGCCATCGTCACTTGTCAGATGCGGCCCACTTGAAGTCGCCGCGCTCACTGTCTCAGCACCGCAGCCATCACGGTCACTCCTCCCCGTGGAGTCGCGCGCGGCTCCCTGTGGCCACCTCGGGCTGCTCCGTGACGAGCGGCGGCCCGGCCGGGCCCTCGTCCCGCGGCTTCCAGGCGTCTTCACGGCCCGACAGGTCCACGGCACCCCCCGTTTCCCGCGACGCGACCTCGTCCACATCGTCCACATCGTCCGCCTCGTCCTCCTCCTCCTCCTCCTCGTCGTCCACGGGCCCCTCCGAGTCGCTGCCGCCGTCGGCCGCGTCGCTCTTGGAGGCTGCGTCGCTGTCGCCGGCAGAGGCGGAGAGGTCCGGGAGGGGCTCCTTGCTCTGCGCGCTCGACTGCTGCTGCTGCTGCTCCTTCTCCTTCTGCGCCTCCTTTGAGTGCCTCCACTTCATCCTCCGATTTTGGAACCACACCTTTACCTGCACGGAGGACGCGCACCACCGCACACGGGGCAACGCGCTCGGCATCAAGCATCGACAAACAGCGGCGCATTCCCACGGTCACGTGCCAACAGCGCCTCGGTGTGTAACGCTGCGCGCGTCGCGGGAAATTCTGCTGCTGATATTGGTGTGCATGCTGTTGCTGATGTGGTTGTTGATGTTGTTGATGGTGTGGTTGTCGATGGGATGGTTGTCGATGTTGTTGATGGTGTGGTTGTTGATGGGGTGGTTGCCGATGTTGTTGATGGGGTGGTTGTTGATGGGGTGGTTGTCGATGTTGTTGATGGGGTGGTTGTCGATGTTGTTGATGTTGTTGATGGGGTGGTTGTCGATGTTGTTGATGGGGTGATTGTCGATGTTGTTGATGGTGCTGTTGTTGATGGGGTGGTTGTTGATGTTGATGTTGTTGATGGGGTGGTTGTCGATGTTGTTGATGGTGCTGTTGTTGATGGGGTGGTTGTTGATGTTGTTGATGGGGTGGTTGTCGATGTTGTTGATGGTGTGGTTGTTGATGTTGTTGATGGGGTGGTTGTTGATGTTGTTGATGGTGTGGTTGTTGATGTTGTTGATGGGGTGGTTGTCGATGGGATGGTTGTCGATGTTGTTGATGGTGTGGTTGTTGATGGGGTGGTTGCCGATGTTGTTGATGGGGTGGTTGTCGATGTTGTTGATGTTGTTGATGGGGTGGTTGTCGATGTTGTTGATGGGGTGATTGTCGATGTTGTTGATGGTGCTGTTGTTGATGGGGTGGTTGTTGATGTTGATGTTGTTGATGGGGTGGTTGTCGATGTTGTTGATGGTGCTGTTGTTGATGGGGTGGTTGTTGATGTTGTTGATGGGGTGGTTGTCGATGTTGTTGATGGTGTGGTTGTTGATGTTGTTGATGGGGTGGTTGTTGATGTTGTTGATGGTGTGGTTGTTGATGTTGTTGATGGTGTGGTTGTTGATGTTGTTGATGGGGTGGTTGTTGATGTTGTTGATGGTGTGGTTGTTGATGTGTTGATGGGGTGGTTGTCGATGGGATGGTTGTCGATGTTGTTGATGGTGTGGTTGTTGATGGGGTGGTTGCCGATGTTGTTGATGGGGTGGTTGTTGATGGGGTGGTTGTCGATGTTGTTGATGGGGTGGTTGTCGATGTTGTTGATGTTGTTGATGGGGTGGTTGTCGATGTTGTTGATGGGGTGATTGTCGATGTTGTTGATGGTGCTGTTGTTGATGGGGGGTTGTTGATGTTGATGTTGTTGATGGTGGTTGTCGATGTTGTTGATGGTGCTGTTGTTGATGGTGTGGTTGTTGATGTTGTTGATGGGGTGGTTGTCGATGTTGTTGATGGTGCTGTTGTTGATGGGGTGGTTGTCGATGTTGTTGATGGTGTGGTTGTTGATGTTGTTGATGGGGTGGTTGTCGATGTTGTTGATCGTGCGGTTGCCGCACCTGCGCGTCCGTGAGTCCCAGCATGGCTGCGAGCTGCTTGCGGTCCGGCTTGGTCACGTACTTTTGGATCTCGAAGCGCTTCTCGAGCCCCTTGCGCTGCAGGTTCGAGAAGACGGCCCGCGACCACGAGCGCTTTCGCTTGAAGTTGGGCGGCATCGTCTCCTTGGTCAGCACCGCGTACGGACCTGCTGGGAGGCACGGGGGCACGCACGGGGGCACGGGCACGGAGTGTACGCACGAGGGGTACAAATGGTACGAGAGGAGCACACGGAGGGCACGAGGGGCACACAGGGACACACGTGGGTTTACAGGTCCCATGGGCACACACACACACACAGGGGAGAGAGGAGGGGGGGTGGGTGTGCAAAGGAAAAGGGCACAACATTGGCACACAAAGATACAGGGGTACACACACAGTCATAGATGCACTCGTGAGCACACACGGAGGCATCACGGAATGGGTACCAGCGGGTACAAGTGGGTGTTCGAATGATCCTGTAGCTCAGTATGCAGACAAGCTGCATCGTCACGACCCGCACTTTAAATGTTCGACCAGGCTATAGGTGAATACGGCAAGAGTAGCGGCGGACATTAACACCTGATACTCGCAATTATAACACTGATTTAAAAAAAAGGAAGAAAAAAACACCTATCCGAGTCCTTCTCCAACAGATCATTTCCTCCTTTGATGAATATTATTAAAGCGGAACGGTGGCGCAGTGGTTACTGCACTGTGCTACGAACCCTGCTGACTGCCCGAGTTCCATTCCCGACAACGGTGAGCGTCAGTGGCGATGCGATACCTGAACCGATGCTGCTGGTGCTGACTGCCCCATCACTTAAATCGTCAAGCCACCCGGAGCAGCGCGGCGCAGAATGTAACACAAACAACGAGGGCCACTGTCCAGTAGTGGATTGACAAAGGGTTGATTTAAGAACAATTGTATTGATCGAAACTAAACTACGAATAGTTGTGTTCTTGCCAACTTTTCCCCCATGTTAAATTCGTCGTCTGCATCGTCACGAGCATTACTTTATAAACTACACGTATAACGCACCACAACAGTAACTTTGGCAACACAATCGTAACAATGAGTAAAGTGGCACTCTCAACAGACCCCTTACATCTTGACTTAAAGCTTTCGTGACCGCGGGTCTTTAGGTAGATAGGTACAAATAAATAAAAATAATAAATATAAAATATTAATTATTGTAATGTTTATTAGTTTGTTACCTATCTACGCGACTTTACCGAAAAACTCAAAGAATAAGACCTCTTACATTCCTATTCCTGCGTGAGCAAATGTCCACGAGCTAAAACCTATTACATTCATATTGCTCTGCACCCAATGGGATTGTTTTCCGCGAATAAATTATATTTATTACGCAATACTGCTTCGTCCACGAATACAACTACGCTTAACATCGTAGACATGCAGCATGGTGGGGTGGTGGAGGTTCAGCATTGCTTCAGATACCACTCGTTGTGCACGCTTTGTCCGTGAACAGGAATCAAACTCAGTTGGCCCCGGGTCCATTGCGTGGTCACGTGAACCACGCAATAAGCCCACTGCTACCCCCCCCCCCCCCCGTCACCTCCGTACAGAGTCGTATTTATTTACACGATGGTAACACGACAAGTTGACTTCGTTAAATTAAACAAATTATTTTGTCATGCTACTGCTGCTTCGTTGGCAGTGATGCTCAAATACAAACAGCAGCAGCAGCAGCAAAAAACAAATGCAACGCATTGCTCAACAACGCCTTATAAGGAAAACTATATTTAATAGGAGACGTTTCGGGCAATGGCCCTTCACAGCACACACAGAGAGAGGCCAGAGAGCGAGAGAGAGTCTCTACCGCTGTTTTTCTTTTTATGAAATAAAAAAACTCCATCACATTTGAAGTGCACATCGTTTATATATATGAAACTAAAAACGCGATTGAACAGATGCTGATACGACATTTGTATTATCGTGATGAAGCAAAGCACACGAGCGACGTGGAGAGATGTAGATGGATGTGCGCCCGCGCATTGGAGCAGAGGGCTCAGCACGCACCACGGAACAATAATGCCGAGGGGTGCTCCTGTTACACTGTACAATGCATACACGTGTGTGTGTATGTGGGTGTATATATACACCCACATACACACACACAAAGACAAAGACCCCCCCCCCCGTATAGCCTTAACAGACTGTTGGGGCAAGTGATGTTAGCGAGCACCTATGAAGGGCGGCACGGCACACGAGGGGGTTGGGTGGCCAGCACCACGCCCGGCCGCCTTTGTCTCCCTAGTGCCGATGTTTACTAAATACCGCACTAGGTTACTCATTCGAGGCCCATGACCGGTTCAGATAACCGTCACTGGCGTCGGCCTTGAACGGGAATCCAACCTGATTCACCACTACACTACCGCTCCCCGTGTGTGTATATATATACACACACGCACACTTATACACACACGTACAGGTACACGTGTGCGTGTGTGTGTATACACACGACCAACACTAGTGACGATTGTCCGAATCGGTTCTGGGCCTCCCCTAGGTCAAACTCAGCCTCAAATGAGTACCTGGTGCGATGTGTACACATCGCCAGCACTGGGGAGACAAAGGCGGCCGGGCGTGGTGCTGCCCCCCCCCTCCCTCCCTCGTGTGCCACCGTGCCGGCCTTCATAGGTGCTACTCGCTAACAGCACTTGCCCCAACAGTCTGTTAAGGCTACACGGGGAACATTTATCTCTGTGTACACACGCGTGCGCGGCTTTTCCGTTCGCGACTAAAATAAACAGCGGCCTGATAATTGGAGCCGGTCGTGGATCTCTCCCTAGGTCGACTCAGCCATAAACGAGTAACAGCACCGGGGATAACGAAGGGGCAACGTGGCGTAGTTTGCCGTCCACCCCCATAGTGTGTCAATGACTACTACAGTCTATGTATGGGAGAATTATTGTTTTTTGTACACATACGATACGTAGACAAAGACAAAGATCCCCGTATAGCCTTAACAGACCGTAGGGGCAAGTGCTGTTAGCGAGCACCTATGAAGGCCGGAACGATACACAAGGGGGTGGGTTGGCCAGCACCACGCACGAGCGGAAATCGAACCCGGGTCGCCAGGTTCGTAGCGCAGCGCGCTAACCACTACACCACCGCTCCCCACTACGTAGACACACACACAGACACGTGTGTGTCAGTGCGCACGTGTTTGCGAGCACGTGTTTGCGAGCACGTGCCCAACAGAGGCGCGGGTAAGGGGGGGGGGTGGTGCAGCTCGACACCAGAGGCACTTCAGGAAATTGGGATTTGAAAACGGCGCAGAGATTACATTACTTCCTATTTCCTCTGATTAGCATTAACATCGCCCCCGTGCGCGCCGCGGGCGATCAGCTCCACGAGCAGCGCGCAGTGTTAGTGCGACATCGCCAACACGTGCGTCCGTGATGTTAGTCACGTGCAGTGTTAGTGCGACATCGCCAACACGTGCGTCCGTGACGTTAGTCACGTGCAGTGCTAGTGCGACATCGCCAACACGTGCGTCCGTGACGTTAGTCACGTGCAGTGTTAGTGCGACATCGCCAACACGTGCGTCCGTGATGTTAGTCACGTGCAGTGTTAGTGCGACATCGCCAACACGTGCATCCGTGACGTTAGTCACGTGCAGTGTTAGTGCGGCATCGCCAACACGTGCGTCCGTGACGTTAGTCACGTGCAGTGTTAGTGCGACATCGCCAACACGTGCGTCCGTGACGTTAGTCACGTGCAGTGCTAGTGCGACATCGCCAACACGTGCGTCCGTGATGTTAGTCACGTGCAGTGTTAGTGCGACATCGCCAACACGTGCGTCCGTGACGTTAGTCACGTGCAGTGTTAGTGCGGCATCGCCAACACGTGCGTCCGTGACGTTAGTCACGTGCAGTGTGAGTGCGATATCACCAACACGTGCGTCCGTGACGTTAGTCACGTGCAGTGTTAGTGCGGCATCGCCAACACGTGCGTCCGTGACGTTAGTCACGTGCAGTGTGCGTGGGATATCACTCAGAACATCAGACGCGACGTCACGGACACGCGCGTTTCTTTGCTCGAAGCGCGGATCGTGATTTAGCGACCGCCCCCGACTGATCGCGTTTAACGCGCCAATTGTGTCGATTGCGCTTTGTCAACTGCGCCAGTCATACCACCGACATTCACGTGGACAGTTGTGCTGTGTTAATGCCGGCCTCCAAACTGTGTTAACTGCGCTAATGGTCGCCGTTTAGCAGTTGTGTAATTGTGCCAGCTGCCCGCTATTAAATCATCTTAACTCTGCAAACCGCATTAACCGTGCTGCGTTAAGTGCGTTTCTGACTCTCCGCTGCGTCTAGCGCACTCGAGCTACGTACGCTGCGTTCACCGCGTCGACCTTTTGTTCGCCGACGCTGAACACGGGTCGAGCGAGAGATCGATCGATCGATCGATCGATCGATCGATCGAGCGATCGAACGAGCGATCGATTGATCGATCGATCGAGCGAGCGGCGTTGCGTGGCACTCGACGGCTTGCCTAGCCGCTGCCGAAGGTCGTCGGCCACGCCAGCCGCGCCTCACCTGGGAAGGCGTCTCTGAAGTGCGGCATCGCGTGGCGTCCGTGCTGCAGGTGCGGACCCCCCGTCGCGTGCGCGTGCATCTCGCCAGGGACCCCGTGCATCCCCCCCGGGGGGAAGGCTCCCGCGAACGGGTGCTGCTGCTGTTGCTGCTGGTGATGATGATGATGCGGATGATGCTGGTGGCCCGGGCCACCGTGGCCGACGAGCAGCTGTCCCGGGTAGCGGGGTGAAAGAGCGCCGGGCAGATCTGTTGGGGCAGGGGGGCGCGTTAGATGATACCAGTCGCACGGCGCGGGACTTGCATTTGCTGCGTCTTGCCCAATGCCCTTCCAGTTCCCGCTGTCCGCGCGAGACGGACGTCTTATCTCACGTTGGGGGTTGTTGTACATTCGTGTTGACAGGCCGTGGGTTTGAACTAAAGATAAACATCCCTAAAGTAAAAACTAAACTATTTTTATTTAACCAAGTAAGGCCCAGTGAGCGAAATCGCTTTTTTTTCAGAAGCGACCTGGCCACATGTGATAGCTCAACTAAGTGGTTTAACATGTGGACATTTATATCAGGCAAATACGTTTAACGCATGTTTCTAAATGTGGAGGGAAAAACCAGAGGACCCTGACAAAAATCCACGCGACCACGGGGAGAACACGCACACTTCAAACACACAGGCGTCAGGGATCGAACCCACAACCTCATGTATAGCAGGCGAGCGAGTCAACATCTCGCCACCGCGGCACTAATGCAGTTACAAATCCCATTTGTCGGACCCTTCTGAAAACGAGTCTGAGACTCAGTGGGGCTTATGGCCTCCGAGATGAAGGGCAACACAGCCCGAGGCCCTGCGTGTGAACTCAACTGCGTGCCTCTCTCTTCCTCTGCCTCTCTCAGGACACATCGCCTTCGTGCGCGTGTCCCGCTCGTAATGCGGCGTGAGAAGTTGGTGCACGCAGATCATACACGGCTCCGCGTTGCATCGAGTTCGAACACACATTTAAAATCCACACGATGTGTGATGCACGCCAGCCGAATATGCGTGCGTTCATGATGTTTATATATTTTAAAAGTAGAATGTATCGGCTTGTGCGATTCCCATTCTGCGTCCCACATAAACAAATCAAAAAACTATAATTTCATCTCGAAGACAGATAAACAGAAAACAGTGAACTTCTCAGCTTCGGAGCGTGAATAAGGGACGGCTTAACAACTACGTGTTTGTTTTTTTAAACAAAGTATTCGGTGCTGCCGCTGAGTTGCCAGTAGTGCGTGAGCGCAAGGAGCAAACACAGCTCACAATATTCGTCAACAACACTGTCGCCTTAACACACATATATATATAACACGCGACGCTTTAAGCGATGACCCGTCTTCATTGCACATACAGAGGCCAGATATAATTAATAAGGTTTGGAGACTGAGCTTAACAGCACCGGGCCCGATGAGAATTTAATTAAAAAAAAAATTCTGGTGGTCCGGCATTTGAATAGTTGCACAAATAGTAGCGATTGAGTAACAGACGAACCCCGATCAATTAAAACATACTACCACGAAAATGTTACCACGGTAAACTGAATTTATATTCAAAGTAAAATGTTCGTTAAGAGTGTTGACGACGCTCGGACACGCGAAAAACGAAACTCTAATCACGCGCGTGTATTTGTGATGACGAAGCAACTGAGATTCTGTAAATTAGGACTACATTTGATACTTTCGCCTTGACTTTAGACCTGACTAGAACGAGCCGTTTTAATCTACGAGCAACAATAGAGTGCAAATGTTTTAATAAGTAAACGTCGTATTAAGGATATACACTTACAGAGATCTAGCCTCGCAGCGCAATCGTTCGGCGCGTGACCGACATCGCCACACTGCAGTATAGCCCGCGGCTATCGCCCCGAGTCGCGGGGTCATGTGCCACCGCGATGCCACTCCAGGTGGCGGCACTCAGGGGGCCTCTCGCAGCCTCGAGCCGCAGGCGTCGCTAACGCCGTTGCCCCCCGGCCGCTCGAGTTCTCGATGAACCGCCACGAGCGCCGCGGGCAGGCGACGTACCGGCGAAGAAGAAGCCTTCGCTGGCCTTGGCGGTGAAGTCGCTCGCTAGAATCCGCTCGATGCCAAACTTGAGCTCCCTGCTGGGCACCGGCGAGCAATGCTGTGCGTGCAGGGTGGCGAGGAGGAGACGCGGCGAGGGCGACGCGCCAGCGGGTCCCGCGCCCGCCGCGGGGCTGGGACCCCTCTCGGCGCAGTCCCCCCCGGGCGAGCGCGGAGTCGGCCGGAGTGGCTGCCCCCCCGCCGGTGGCGCGGGCCGGCTGGCCGCGGGGCCCTGCTTGTGGCCCGGAGGAGGGCCCTGCAGGGTCGCGCTGTCCACGGCGCTCAGGTGCAGAATATCGGCCACGCAAAACGAGCCCTTCTTGGAGGGGTCGCCCAGACCAGGTGCGCAATAGGCGGCGGCCGCAGAGGCCGCGGGCCACAGCGCCAGGCCGTTCAAGTAGTAGGGTGCGAATCCTGCGGAATACATCCCGACGCACGGACCTCGCCCACGCCGCGCTCCGGACAGCGGAGGCCGTGGGAGACGGAGCCGCGGAGTCCGTGGCCGGGGCGGGGAGAGAGGAAACGTGCGCGGGAGGAGCCGCCGGTGCCTTTTGAGCCGCGGACTCCGCCCCGCGGCGCGGCCAATGGGAGCCGCAAGCCCCGGGGCTCCGCGAGACGCGCACGGCTCAAGAGTCGCGTCGAGGCTGCGCGTGGAGGAGGCTTCGGTCAGCGGTGAAGAGTGGGGGACGTGAAGAGGAACTCGCTAACTTCACGAGGAGGGCGTGCGCGCCCTGCGCTCGCTTCTACACACAGAGAGAGGGAGAGAGATACGCACACATACGAAGACCCGCATATACGACGTACACAGCCACATACACAGATTAGATGCTGGCGCACACACGTGTACACGCACGCATGCACGTATACACACACATACACGGACAACGTTCACACACAAAAATAGCGGGGACAGTCTGCTGCGGTAAGTGGTTTTATCGAACGCTTTGAAGACCGACACGGCACACAAGGGGATGGGTGACCAGAACCACGCCCGTCCGCCTTTGTCTCCCCAGTTCTGAGGTTTATGCACCACCACCAGGTACTCATTTGAGGCTGAGTCGAAGTAAGGGAGGCCCTGGACCAGTTCACAGTGTGCTAACCATTACACATTAACCAATATGCACACATTGCCTTTTGAGTCATTGACATACACGTGAATATTTACACACATTTATAAACAGATCCATATAAACCCACGGACGCAACGTATTTACACGCACATAATAACAAAGAGAAAGATCCCCCGTATAGCCTTAACATACTGTTGGGGCAAGTGCTGTTAGCGAGCACCTATGAAGGCCGGATCGGAACACGAGGGGGTGGGTGGCCAGCATCACGCCCGGTCGCCTTTGTCTCCCCAGTGGCGATGTTTACCGCACACCGTAGCAGGTACTCATTTGAGGCTGAATCGACCTAGGGGAGGCCCAGGATCGGGTCAGATAATCGTCAGTGACGTTGGCCGTGAACGGGAATCGAACCCGGGAACTCAGGTTCGAAGCGCAGCGCGCTAACCGGTACATTTACACACACAACAAGACAAAGATCCCCCGTGTAGCCTTAACAGACCGTTGGAGCAAGTGCTGTTAGCTAGCACCTACGCACGCACACATGAACACACACACACGCGCGCGCACACACACACACACGGCTTGGGTTACGAAGTCACTCGTCCTCCGCGCGCGTCCTGTTTGTGTCCAATCAAGCTTGTGGGATGCGTACGGCGGATATTGTGGCAGGAATTGGCCCAAAAATAGAGCGAGGACGCGTGCGAATCGACACTAAAATAAACGCCGAGCCGAGGCCTTTGACGGCCAAAGTCAAGGTTCTATCGGCTCTTTGTCCCCGGCACGATCCGTGCGGCAGACTTGAGCCAACACAGGGCAGTCGTCGGCGTAACGAGGTGCGGGGCACAGCAGGGGAGACATGGGGGATCTGGTGATGGAGTCGGACTTGTGCCACAAGGCGGAATTCGACTCGTTTGTTGAAACCAGGGGAAATGTCACGGTTCTTGTAAGGAGCGTCACGCCACGAGACAATAATTACGCAACACGATTGTTGTTCCTGGGTAGTAAGTGTTATTTTCTAATTGCTTATGCCTCTAAAGTATAGAAAATGGCTGTTATTCCCCACAAACTTTGCTTTTGTGACCAGGACTTTAGTGAAGGAATGACACAAATGCACACCACGTTTACTCATTGAAAATAGGTACATTTCAAAATATCACTGTGCTGGTCACAAAAGCAAAGTTTGTCGGGAATAATAGCCATTTTCGGTACTTTTGAGGCATACGCAATTAGAAAATAACACTTACTACCCAGGAACCGAAGAAGGCAACATTGAACTTGATCGTGCCGTGATTTTTGCTAACAACTATTTTCAATTGTTTGGCTTAACAAAAAAAAACCCTCAAATTCGATCGGTGACTTATTTATGACCAAGTAAAATCACGAGCAACGGAGCAGAGGTCAGAGCAGACTGACGCTGTGAACCTGACGAATCGAGTTTGATTCTCAGCCACAGCCAACGTCAGTGGTCCGTGATTTCTGGATCGCTCCCGGTACCCCCCATCCTCACCCTCCTTTCACCAACCCGCACTTGTCACCGTGGTGAAGTCTGGTCAAAAGAGCGACAGTGCGTGGGGAGGCCTTCATCCAGCAGCCCATTGACGATATACGGCTTTAGAATAGCATGTGTTTTATCTCTCTCTCAAATTTAGCATTCTCAGGAAGAACGTAATCAACCAGGTAGGGTGTTGACTGTTATGTTATCCGACTCTCTGTTGTATTTCATTACATTTCTAAGTATACTAGATTTTTGTTTCTATTTCATTTATACCGGATGATGATTGCTTGTGTTGCAATCGAAACGTCGTATGGTAGTATTTAATTTATTATTTTCTCTTTATACGTGACTTTTCCGAAAGAACCAAAGAGTAATTAGAATAGCCGATTGAGATCGCGAGTCTCTGTATTCATACAAGGCATGGGTTTAAACATAAGAACAAAAAAATCAGCAAACAAATAATAAGCGCGTAAACACAAGCATACATACCGCCGTTTGTATAATTAACAACAGCAAAGGTAAACATTAACTTATCATCTTCTTGGTTCTTTCGGTAAAGTCACGTAGAAGGGAGATAATAAAATAATAAAAATAAAACATAATAAAATTGTATTAAAATTGTATTAAAATGTATTAAAATTGTATTATGTTTTATTTTTATTATTTTATTATCTCCCTTCTACGTGACTTTACCGAAAGAACCAAGAAGATGAATCCCTGCAGTCACGAAAGCTTTAAATCGAAAATTAACTTATCAGTAGTATTTATTTGCATTACACTGGTCTACGATTATAAGACGTCGTCTGCTTCAGAGATGAAATGTGCTGTTTATTATGACGATTAAAACAACTGATTGGCTACTGCCTCCACGATATTTTAGTTTTTACGTTTAACGTCTACATATATTGTGTAGACAGTAGAGCTTTACTCATACATTGTATTTATAGGTCTTTTCATGTGTTTATTGTTGCTTTACAGGATAACATGTCACCTGTCCTGTTCATGTATAAATAAAATGTATTATGAAAAAAAGGTTAAAAACTATTATGTATAGAAAGTACATAGTTCAGTCCTTATTCAGTGTCTACTCAGTGCTTCTTGGATTGTGTCTTGTATTCATTAAATGGAGCATCTCTTGTCACTGTCCAGCAATAGTCTGCAAGCATTGATGGGCTCCATTTGCCCTGAGAGCGTTTCTCCATCGTCGCAATGTCCTAGTGACATCGCTCGCCATACTCGTCGCTCACTGCTCTGCAGTTCGGTGGGAAAACATCTAGATGAGAGTGCAAAAAATGTATCTTTAGTGACATGTTGCAACCAAGGCTTTTGTATGCCTTGAGGAGGTTTACCACCAACTCCCTGTAGTTGTCTGCCTTGTTGTTTCCGAGAAAATGTGTTGCCACTAACTGGAAAGCGTTCCATGCCGTATTTTACTTGCCACGCAGTGCACTGTCAAATGCATCATCTCGAAGAAGTTCACGAATCTGAAGACCAACAAAGACACCCTCGTTTATCTTAGCTTCCCTTAACCTTGGAAATTTTCCACGAAGGTACTTGAAAGCTGCTTGTGTTTTCATAATATAGGTTTTTGGGTCAGATCGTGATCTGACCCAAAAACCTATATTATGAATAATATTGGTCGTGAAAGCCTACGTGTTAAACTGCTTGTGTTTTGTCCATGGCTTTGACAACGTTCTTCATTAGACCCAGCTTGATGTGTACGTTGGTAACACAATCTTCCTTGATTCAACAAGTGGTAGATGCCGAACACGTTACCTCCCAGGCTCCAATGACTGTCAGAGTGGGCAATCTATCTTGATGTAGTCGGAATCTCTCACACGACTATCCCATTCGCAGAGAAAACAGCAGTACTTTGTGTATCCAGTCTGCAGACCAAGCAAGAGAGCAACAACCTTAAAATTGACACAAGCTGCCACTGATGTTGGTCATAGTTGATGCACCTCAAAAGTTGTTTCATGTTGTCAAAGGTTTCCTTCATCTGGACTGCATGACCAACTGGCATTGATGGCAAAACATTGCCATCATGCAGGAAAACAGCTTTAAGACTCATCTTCGATGAATCAATGAACAGTCTCCACTCATCTGGATCATGAGCGATGTTGAGGGCTGCCATCACACCATCGATGTTGTTGCAGGCTACAACATCACCTTCCATGATGGTCACAGAACATGGAAACCCTAACATCACCTGCCAGGAGATTTCACTGCTGCAGTCTGGAACCCAACAGCTCTGCCTTACTCTTGGGTAGTTCCAAATCCCTGACAAGGTCTTTGAGTTGACCTTGTTGTTATGAGGTGTGGTCCAGAGGAGGAGGATGGGAGAAAATATGGGTCATGTGACCTTGATGGTTCAGGACTAGAAGTTTCATCCTCGTCTGACTCAAGTGAGAATGATTCTGGTGCATCAGGAACTGGCAGTCCTTTTCTGTGGGGTACTGAACGTATAGCTGATGGAATGTTTGGATAATGGACAGTCCACTTTTTCTTCATTGACACACCTTTCCCAACTGGAGGCGCCATGCAGAAGCAACAATTGCTGATATGATCTGTTGGCTCTCTCCAAATCATTGGTACTGCAAAAGGCATCGATTTCCTTTTATTGTACGACCACTGGCGTAGATTTGTTGCACAAGTGTTGCAGCATATGTGTGGGGCCCACATCTTGTCCTGATCTCCAATTTTGCAGGAAAAATAAAGGTGATAGGATGTATTCCCTTGTAGGTGTACCGATAGTGGTTATACTGCACTTTTGTGAAGCAAAAGTCACTTTACCACAAACATAGCAGAAGTTATTTGCTTTGTTCACACAAGTACGAGGCATTTCTGCTCACTTTGGCTAAACAGAAATGTGTCTCTTTGCAAAAGCAAACACTGACAAATAAGAGAGCATGACACTGTATGATTTATAGAGCTGATATAGGGCAATTTGTTCAGAAGAGGGATGTAAGCCTAGTTATGATTGCATCATCCATGACTTCTAGGAATAACATGATGCAATTCATATCATGTATGATGCAATCCCAGGTTCAGATTGCTTCATTCATTGTTTTGCTCAAAAAGCAAGTACTCTTCAAACCCAGTCATAGATTTATTCATAGATCCAGTCAAAGATGCATTTGAGTAATTTCTGGTTTTAATTGAGATCCCTTCCCTTTATAA